GGCTTGTTGTTTGTCATTTCTCCGATCACAAATGCAGACATGGTTTTATGTTTACGCGGCGCGATGCAACGCAATGCGTAAATAGACAGCATAAATCATTATAATCCATAATTATGTCCCCACTGGATGCAACCAATGCCTCGTTTATAATGGGTTTTCATGTTTTTGAATCGTAGCTCCGGGGCATCGTCACAATATGGTAAGGGGCGTAACATTTCCGTCACATTCGGCCAGTCATAACGCACTGGATAGCTGGCCAATCACAGCACACCTCACTTTTCAGACCGATGAGCTTTGTAAAAATCGACGCGTTTCAGAAAGGCGGGGCATAGAGGAGAAACAATAATGTACAGTATGTGGAAAATGTGTTTTTTGAACCTTAAAACGCATAAACACATTTCATTACACCAAATACACAAAATTATGTTATTTTTAGCAACATCATATGACCCCTTTAAACTCCATGTCAAACATAAACTCCATGTCAGCTTCTCCACAGATCTGCAGTCTTCCTAAAGGTTATCAATAATAACTATACAGTAAAAAATAAAAAAGGAGAAAAAAGACTGAAATACGAAAAGATGAATGAAAATAAGATTAAGACTTGGATTTTTAATCAGTTATGAAACTGGAAACCCTGATAGTTTATGATTCTATTTAAAAATAAAGTTTAGATTTTCTCTGTATTATATATGGCGTTCTTATATTAATTACTGTCTGTTTCACTGAAAGCCTCTAAAGTTTTATGGACCATCAGTGTCACAGGATGGGGAAGTTTTGCCCCTCAGAACACATGGGCGGGGCAGGAGCCCGAACAGGTCTGTTAAAGGGTTAATTCTGGACTGCAGGGACAGGAAGATGTTCACGTCTGTGAAACTCAAGGCCAACCCGCTTTAAGACATTCCAATTGAGTTTCTTAAGGAATGTAACAAATGCTCCGGTGTACGTGTGCATCATTGGATTAGAAGTGGTTTTATCCAGCATTTAAACGGGTTTGGTCTCCCAAACAAAAGGAAGGGGATTTGTCTCGGTAAGACTCATTACATTCCCAGTGAACTTGAAGTTTGACTCGTTTGGAACTTTTGTTACTGTTTACATGATTTTACGTAGCGCGTTCGGTTTTTAAGACGCATGACGTGCGCAGCGTAATTTGTTGTTTTAAATGTGTCTATATATTTAATCATATATTTTCAGTTTTTACGCCTTACAATGTGATCGTTCTGTTAAGAATCGCTGTTCCTATCTCTTAGTGTTTAACGGGACGTCTGGTCATTTAAAGTTGCATTAATCTAATCTAATGTTTGCGTTAAAGATATTTAATTCTATAAAGATCGAGATATGTTTTATGTTTCCATTGACAGTTATACACGTTCAAAATATACTCAGATAAGATTTTCAGACGTTGATGCTTGGGACACCAAGAAATAACACTTTGCCCTCATACTTGTCCAAACTTGCATGACTTTATTTCTTGCGTGATGCACAAAAGGAGATTTTTGGCAGAATGTTAAACATCTGACAGCCTTACGGCCATTTACACATTTTTAAACGTTTTTGCATGTTGCATAAAAATTAGGTGCTCAAGTTAAAGTAAATTAAAATAAGTTCGAAACACATCTGGAGAGCTTTTGTCCATTCCCCTTGCATTTCGCATTTTTAATCATAAAAGCCTATTCTGTGTGAACTCCCCCTTGGGTGTCATTTTGAGTACTGTAAATGATTACATAATTTTTGGGTGAACTATTGCTAAGTTCACTGATGCTGGAATGCGAGTGTACTTTTCCCTCTAAGATACAGCTTCCATCTGAAATTCTGTATGTCGTTATAGTTTCTGGGCCCCAGGTTGCCTTGAGCTCCCTCAGCTGAACCATTTCTCCCTTGTAATGTGAATTTATGTGGCACTATTTTTTTCCCTTGACTAATCTGGCTACAGTGGCTTTTGTGAGAGAAGGAAATTCCTGCCATTCCCCAGTGAGGATTCACTATCATAATTTTTATCTGTCTGCATGCTTAGACGTGCTAGGTAAATTCTATGTTATGTATCTATTTCAGGCATGTACACTTACTAAACCTTGTTTATGTGTGAAGGAAATTACATTGAACAAGTCAGATGTGCCGCAATGAAATTATGTCTGTCCATCGAGATTTTAAATACTCTGCTGGAATACAAAGACAAAGCTCATGAGCAACTGCCCACATTTTTCCATACACACAGCATAACTGATGAGTCACAGCTCAAGGAAATAATTCCATTATAAACTACCTGGCTCTGCATGTACAAGATTTACACTGATCTGGGAGCATGACTTAATGTTGCTACCATGCTGAGAAATGATTATGGGTGCGGTAAGAGGGCTTATCCCAGACCTGCCTGTACAGATAACCAATACCAGGAGCTGTGTTGGCATGACACAGCAGAGTTATGATGAGCTTTCTTTAGTGTGTGTTTGTCTATTAAATAATAACACATTGTTGGTAAAGACATTTTTGGAGTTTGGAGCTGCCTGGTTTTCACTCTAACATACACCTTCCAGAGCAGAGATGAAATTTCACCAAAGTCCGTGAACTCTCTCACTTCACTCTTGAATCAAACTCTTTCTTCCATTTTAATGCACCTGTAACTAAAGCTCAGTTGAAGGGGCACCTGCTTAATCTCATGGAAGGAAGTTAGGCAAGCCTAACATCATGTCTACTGATGTGTGTGCACAATAAATATGCTTTGATAAAAACCTTATCACTGCTTAAGCACAGGCTGGGTTATGCTATTTTCACACAGGCTTTATCAAGGGACTGGGCCTGGATCTTGGACGTTGATTGATATATAAGACTCTTTTATGATAGTCTGTCTTGATTATTCAATCACTTTTCTGCTGATTCACCTTTGTTTGAATTTCTGTTCACAGAGGGGGGTCAGTGCTCCAGAAAAGACAGGAAAAATTGGATAAGGTTTTTAGGCATTTCGACAGGCACAGGATGACAAACAACATATCCAGAGGAGATTCGAGTCCATGGTAAGGTTTGGAAGCATGTCCTACAGTGACCAGACTCCACCCAGCCCCAGCAGGACCAGCGGCAGTAACTCTGGGGCACAGTATGCTACTGCTGCACTGGGCGTGGGCCTCATCGCTCTGGGGATAGTCATGATTGTGTGGAACGTGGTGCCGGCAGGGTCCGGAGGGAACAGCTCCAGACCTGGCATGGATCAAGGTCAAGTTCGGGAGACCTCATCGGTGGCGTTCGTCCTAGTAGGGGGAGGAGTGGCGCTTCTGCTGCTGTCTGTGTGTCTGAGTGTACGGAACAAACAGCAGGCGGCCAGGGGACAGGAAGCCGGCAGTACACCTGCTAACACACAGGAGGAGGGGGCTACGTGAGTACATACTGTTAAATACACACTCAGGTGCAGCCACATTCTTACATTTTATGATGGTAAATAGGCCAATGACGTACGTGGCTGACGTGTTTTGTTTTGTTTTTTTGTCCTGTTAATGTTTTCAAAAACACATAAAATATAATTCACACATACAGTGACTTGAATACACTTCATGATTTTTTGGAAGATTCTAAATTAACTTAACATTAAATTAAATTAACATTCTTTTTTATTGTATTATTTTATGATGTCATATAGACCAATTTGGAGTAGACGTCACAGTTATGTCACTTGCTGCTGCGCGCACATAGTGGTGGCAGAAAAACACTGGTAACAAGTGGAGGGAAAATGGATCAAATTTATGGAATAAGAGGCAAAAATTATTTTTGTGCCTTTGGATGTCAGAATCGGAATGCAAATCATTTTTATAGAATGCTGTCGTCAAAGACGCCATTTAAAGCTAAACGCAGACGTTTAAATGGACAGACTATGGATGAAAACTTTATTTGACCCTTTATTTGACCCTCTAACTCTAACACTTTCTATTCTATTTTAATTCTACTTTATCTATATTTATCTTTAAAAAAAAAAACAAAAAAAAACTAGCTTTCTATTTTTTCTATTCTATCTATTTGTTTTTCTTTGTTTGTGTGTGTGTGTATATATATATATATATATATACAGTGGGTACGGAAAGTATTCAGACCCCCTTAAATTTTTCACTCTTTGTTATATTGCAGCCATTACTTTTAAAGCATAAATTTGATTTAAACAATAGATCTACATAATATTCACATATACAGTTCATAGGAGACAGATTGTATTAGCCATATAGTTAAAGCATGAAATATTATTTAAACCTATTATTATTAACATTTTACATAAGATTTATTTATTTTATGTCACAATTCTGACTTTTTTTTCACAGATGCAAGTTTACATCTCCTAGTTCGGACTTTATAACTCGATTTAACTCAACAATAGTGAGTTTGACAATTCTGAGGAAAAAAAGCCAGAAGGATAATCATGATTCTCAGACGAGGGGAAAAGAAAGAATGACGAGTTGTTTTTGCTTATCAGAATTGTGAGATATAATCTCGGAATTGCGAGAATAAAGTCAGAATTTTGAAATATAAACTCAAATTTTCCTCTTTTTTTATTCTTTTATTCTTCCATAGACCATAGATATCCTTCCATAGAAATTCTTCCATAGACTGGTACTTGAAAACTGTCATTTTCTGCCACCCCGATAGGCTCCGCCCACAAAAAAGTCATCATAATGAAAATAATGCCCCATGCAAATAATGAAATTCTTTATTAAACATTATTAAGTAGTTTTGCATAATCTTGTATTACAGTGTATTAGAAAAAGGTTTTAACAAAGCTGCTTTGCTGCTGATTAATATTTGAAAAACTTTGTCTGCCAAATCCAACCAACATGCAGGAAAAAAGAAACAGGACATGATATCATAAAGAGGACCCCTGCAGACCCTCATGACTGTCTCTGTGTCTCATTTTGAAGGCTGTATGTGTCATCAAGGATGTCTCGTTTTTAGAAAAGTAACCATTATAAGGTTGTCTCTTAGTCCTCTTGAGGCGTAAATTATTGTATTTTCTTTCTGACTTTGGAATGTAGTGGTTACTTTTCTTAAATGAGGCAACCTCAATGACACATACAGCTGACAAATAACCTCCAGAGGACACAAACTTTGTAATCAAAGACAGATTGTGTGTCAAGGACAAGAAGTCTCGTCAAATGTTTTATAATTTGGCATGGTTGGTTCAGGTTGTAAAATGTTGTGTGGTGACTCCCAAAGAATTACTAGGATTTTGTGAATTAATAACATTTTTATTGTGTACATAAATATATGTTAATGATGTGTACATTAACATATATTTAAGGTACAAACAAAATACTCTTACACCACATGGCATTTTAGTTTTTGAAAGAAGTCTCTTATGCTCACCAAGGCTGCATTTATTTGATCACAACCACATTAAAGAGTAATATTGTGTAGTATTGCTACAATTTAAAATAACTGTTTTCTATTTGCATATATTTTAAAAAGTTAAATAAACGTTAAATAAATAAACATTTATTCCTCTGACGGCAAAGCTGAATTTTCAGCATCATTACTCCAGTCTTCAGTGTCACATGATACTTCAGAAATCATTCTAATATGATGATTTTTTTATTTTTTTGCTCCAGAAAGATTTCTTATTATTATCAATGTTGAAAACAGTTGTGCTGCTTAATATTTTTGTGGATACCATTGTTTTTTTCAGGATTCTTTTTGTAACAACGTTTGTCACTTTTAATCAATTTAATGCATCCTTGCTGAATAAAAGTATTAAGCATTGATTAAGTCTTACTGACCCCAAATATTTTGAATGATCGTTTGAACAATAATGAGCTGAATATGCTGTGTATGGTTGTAAATGTGCATTTATTTTTGCTTCTAGGGTGGAACAACTAGCTCAAAACTACACAGTTCCCACTTACGAGGAGGTGGTAATGAGTGGCCAGTATCCCATCAGTCAGTCCTCAGAGCGACACAACAGCATCACCCCGCTGCCAGCCTATGAGGAGCTAGAGGAAGATCAGCACACTGTGGAAGATGGATTCAGCCCAGCACGCAGACCTTCATCCCAAATCGACCCCAGCACTGGAGCGGGTGGCCGAAGAAACAGCCGGCCCGGGAGCAAGCTGATTCCCCTTAAAATTAGGCGCATAAAATCTGACAACCTAAGAAGGAAAAGCTTAAGCGATATCCAGCAGACTAACGTGTTCACCATCGAACCCCTCACACCGCCTCCACAGTATGACGAAAAGCTCCCTCCACTTCCTACAGACTCACAGCAGTGAGGCATGCTGGAGGTTTACACTAACACTGCAGTGTGACGAAGTGTGACTACCTCTTTTACAAATTACTACTACACTGAACTTCATATTACTCCTCTGGAACGGATGTGCCACTATCAGCAGCACAGAGGAGGCAGTAGTTTGGAAAGGGGAGAGCCTTCATTATGTCTTCCTGTGTTTGCTGAATATTTCCTTGTAGCAAAAAAAAAAAAATAAAATTAATAAAAATAAAAAATCATTTAATAAAAAAGTTGCAGCTGACTGGATTAAGACTGAACTGGATTTTTGAAAGATGTTTACTGACCCACTGCTGGTATTTATATAGGATGGTCTTGTTTTTGCTGTCGAACTTGAAATTCAGCATCCAAGCTGTCTAGACCTTTATTTCATAGGATGTCCATTACAATTTCAGAAGAAATGTGAAACTGTAAACTGTGAGTCACAGCACTATTACGTTTTTTTGCACTGATATTTGTTTGTGTCGGGTGTGAGTGCATGTGATGTTTTTTGTAAATTTTCCAAGAACTTTGCTTTGGTTCTTGTGTTGGCTTTAACTTTCAGTGTTTGTGTGTAAGTATGGTTGTTCTTAGTGACCTTGTTGCCGGAGTGACAAAGCGTGAGGTCATCAGTATGTGTCTCTCCTCATGGTTTACCACACAGAGAAGTTCTTTGACCCCGCAGCTGCCTTATATCACTCTCTCACCAACACACACCACCAGACACAGAGAATTTCTTGTCTCCCTTTTTCACTAACTAGGATACACAAACACTCAGTCTTTTCATCCCTTTATTTTTAACTTTTAATGTTGATTTGTGTAAAGACAACTGATTTTCTCATTGGGCAGCTGTGGCATCTCCATGCTGTGAGGTTGAAGCTCCCAGTCATCTGTCTGCACTTGCATTACTGCTCTAAACACTCCAGGATTTTCACATTAAGACACACTTGTAGCTGGTTATTAATGAAATCAGTGTTTATGTTTCTGGAAATTTTGCTGATGCCTCTTCAGTTTAAGACAGACATGGATGGAAAAAATGTTGCTGAATCTCATGTGCTATTTAATATGTTTCTTCTGTTTTGTTTTTTTTTCTATTTTGTTATATTCTGTTTATAATTGTAAACAATTTGACAATTTGACAAATACATCCACAAATACATTTGTGGATGTATTTGATTTAGAATATTAAAAAAAAAATATAAAAAAAAAAGGGATAATATTTATACTTAAAAATAAAGTGTGTGTGTGTGTGAAAGAGAATCAGAATAAATTGTATCATCTAGAGCGCTTCCTGTATTTTAGAAAGATCAAAATGAATAAAAAAAATTTGATATTAGTCATTTTAGAAATGAAATTGTTTGATATGTTTTGAATCTCTATTCAAGTTTGTTACCTTAAAAGGAAAAAATAAAGATGTGACACGAGGAAGGATTTCATTTTGGTTTATAAATTCTCTAAAAAAATATTGTCAATTTCCATCCTGAACTGATGTATTAAATTCACACCCTAACCTTCATAAAGTGGACTGTGATTCATCCAGTAACAGAGTCAGTTCACTATAAAGATTCATTCATTTTTGTTTACTAATTTGTTCAATGATCCTTGCTGTAGGATGAGTGAGTCATTGAATCATTCACTCAACCGATGCGGTCAGTGAAAGGCCTATCCCTTCAGTAGGTTCGACCAATCAAACACGCCTTCAGAACTGTACTCGAATGCTATTGGTCGAGCTGTATCCAGGCAGGAAAGGAGCAACGCATTCAGGCGTGAGTGAGAGCATTCGGTGAATAGAAAAAGTCACGTTATAAGTTAGTTTGATTTTGAATTTAATAACTTAAATGCTCGATTTGGATGTAGATTGGTATAAATATACTATAGATCTACTGTTTAACCATAAAACCTGCTGCTTTAAGACCTTGCAAGTAAGTGAATTACAGACTTTCTGAACTGCCAGTAAACTACCATGCCAATGACACGCACATTTTACAATGTTGCTATTTATTTGTTTTAATATCAGCATTAACTAACTTTTATTTTACAGGGATTGTGCTGCAGATATTCAATAACAAAGTAATGTAAAGTAGTAATCTGATTTTATACATAGACCCAGACTGTATAGGGTTTAAACGCTGAACATGTAACCCCTCTCTCCCGGGTCCTCACCGCCACACCTCGTTCTTGCTCCGAGTGGGTCTCCGGTATGGGAGACGGACGCACTAACATGGAGGCTAAAGACTGCAGCCTCTAGCGTCAGTCGCTAGTGCATCTCTTTGAGATCAGGGGAGTGAGGTTTACCTGAACAGCACTTACTCGCTGGCCTCTGTTACACTCACCCCCCTAATCCTCACTCCCATCCGGGTCACGGCACCAATGTAACCCCTCTCTCCCGGGTCCTCACCGCCACACCTCGTTCTTGCTCCGAGTGGGTCTCCGGTATGGAAGACGGACGCACTAACATGGAGGCTAAAGCCTGCAGCCTCTAGCGTCAGTCACTAGTGCGTCTCTTGAGATCAGGGGAGTGAGGTTTACCTGCACAGCACTTACTCGCTGGCCTCCGTTACAAACACACATGCTACTATTAATAGATGTGAGATAGAAGTAATTAAACAGTGACTTTCACCCGCATTATTGTTTTATTCGGATCTTATGATAAAATTTATCTCTCTGATGTTTTGATGCTGGTAGTGTAGTAAAGGAGGAGTATTTACCCTAGACATGAATGAAACAACTATTGTAGTTGTCGAGGAAGGGCCCTTTTTCCATTTGTTTTCCATATGTTTTTAAGGATAAAGCAATAGGATCTGTCAGTCATAATGTCACTGAAATAAGATCTGGTCAATTTGAACACACCTGGAAGCATTGACTTCTTGACCTTTGACTGGGGTAAAGACAGATTTTGTTAGGAGGAAGGAAGAGGAGCCTAGTCTTGTCAAGATTAAAGTGATATGTCCATGGGGCATGCAGAGATCCTCGGTATAGAGGTGTGAGAAGTTTCAGGAGCACATCTCCTCAAGTCCTATGGAAGACTGTTTCCACCACGGAATAAAAAATAATAAAAAAGGTAATTGCGACTTTTTATTTAACAATTCTGAGATTTTTTTCTGGCAATTCTCAGTTTGCATCTCACAATTCAGACTTGTTTTCTCAGAATTAAACTCACAATTCTGAGAAGCGCAACTGGGAGAAAAATACTTTTTTATTATTTTTTCTGTCAGAAACAAGAAAATGTCAGTAGTTTATACGGTATCTCTCAATTCTGCTGTTTTTCTCAGAATTATGAGTCTACAGTATATCACATAGTTCTGTGTTTATTTTGAGAAAAAATATTCGCAAAACCTTTTTTTTTCATGGCAAAAAAAACCGTCTCAGGTTACTTATGTAACCATGGTTCCCTGAGTAGGGAACGAGACACTGCGTCCTCTAGGGGTCGCTATGTGGGACGCCTCGTCGTGACCCGTGTCTGAAGCATACATTGAAAAAACACCAACTCGTTGGCCGGCGACAGCCATGACGTCACTACCGGTGCGACTATAGTATAAATAGGCGCCGGGAGCACACATCATTCACTTCTTCGTCTGAAGCTTGCGTCCGCAGCATGGCAAGAAACCTAGAGGACGCAGTGTCACGTTCCCTACTCAGGGAACCATGGTTACATAAGTAACCTGAGACATTCCCTTTCATGGGAACTTCGAACTGCGTCCTCTAGGGGTCGCTATGGGGAACGGTATACCCATGCCACCATGCTGAGGGGAGTGCATGCCAGAACCATGGCGAGCACTAAGTACCAACTCTACCATATTGCTATGGGAGTTGCCCCTGGGACATTAGACTGCTGTCAGTGACGTTATTCCCTACGGCCAAAGGCCTAGGCTACATACGGTAGTGACGTCATGGCTGTCGCCGGCCAACGAGTTGGTATTTTTTCAATGTATGCTTCAGACACGGGTCACGACGAGGCGTCCCCCATAGAGACCCCTAGAGGACACAGTTCGAAGTTCCCATGAAAGGGAACGGGCTTCCATATGAGTCCTGCCTACCAACTCTGCTCAGTATTGTTGCCAGGGGTGCAACAAGTTTATTTGAAGTGGGTATGCAAACAAATACAGCTTAGTGTGTATTTGTATATTGTTGTATTTCACTATAATGTGACAGATGTTTTGCCAGTAGCAATTTATAAATTAATTTTAATTATTTTTGCTAAGGCTTAAAGAAGGTTGTGCACAAGCTAAAGCAATTGCCTTGGAGATTTTTGAGATAATTGTCTTTTATTCAGAATGATCCCATTAAAAGTGTCGTAATAGTCTTTCTGTTTTTTCATATAAAGTATCTCATTACTATTTCGGGTGAAAACTTGCTGAAAAGTGCATGAGTAAGAAATTGTGAGCAGTGTGTGAGTGAACTGAATGAATCAAACTAAATTGCGAACAAATTCAGACCTTTTCGCAAATCTGTTCACCAGATCAAAAGAGTGATTTATTTGCAAATCTGGCATCATTAGTTCTGGTCCTAAACAGCATATAGAAAAAACACACAACATGCTTGCTGAAATATTATCATTGAAAATTGTTCTCATATTGGTATATGGTCATCTCCATTGCCAGAGATGTATTTATCAGTAATATTGTACTGGGTTCAAGCGATATTTCACTGGGGTTCATGCCCAAGTAAAAAGGAACAAGTGACACCCCTGGTGTTATATGGCAAGCCGTTTTAACATTTAATCTATAAACCGCACTAGTATCTAATTTAATGTTACTAGTACTTATTTTTTAGATACTAGTATCTTTTCCATTAAGTACTAGTACTTATTCATTACTACTAGTGCTTATTCTTTAGGTACTAGTGCTTGTTCTTTACGTACTAGTGTTTTTGTAAAGTTACTAGTACTTATTCATTAGATACTAGTACTTAATCAGTAGATACTAGAACTTATTCATTAGATACTAGTGCTTATTTATTAGGTACTAGTACTTATTAATTAGATACTAGTACTTATTTATTAGGTACTAGTACTTATTCTTATTTTTTAGAAACTAGTACTCATTCATTAGATACTAGTACCTATTAAATAGATGCTAGTACTTATTCAATAGATACTAGTACAAATTGATTAGATACTAGCACTTATTCGAAATGTTACTAGTATGATTTTTTATTTTACTAGTACATTTTTTAATTGAACTCTACTGTAGCCATTTGGACTAGTCATAACATAAGACAAGTAAAAAAGCAGATCTGACTAGTAAGATAAGAATTGTTACTAGTAGTAATTACAAAAGATACTAGTGTCTAATAAATAAGTACTAGTACCTAATGAATAACTACTAGTATCTATTAAATAGGTACTAGTATCTAATGAATAAGTACCAGTATCTAAAAAATAAGTACTAGTATCTTTAAATTAGCTACTAGTGCTGTTTATAGATTAAATGTTAAAACGGCTTTCCATATAAGTACTAGTATCTAATGAATGCTTACTAGTAATATTTAGATAGATACTAGTCACTATTGCAATAATTACTAGTCAGAAATTAAAAGATGATATCGAAAACAAAATAACTACGTCTCCTTGTTCATTTGGAGATATCTTCAACCTCATAAAGAACTAGTGAGAATGTATTTGGAGATATCTTAATTTAAACAGATCATTACATAAACATGAGTACCTCTCCACCATCCAATCAGAGTCCACATGGTAATACAAACCATTAATATGCAGAATTAATTTGATTGTTAAGGCTAGCTGGCTTTGTATGTTAGCCTATCTTGCTAATTGGTTTTCCATGAAAACACAAGGAAAGATTACAAACCTGTTTTCCAACAAAAGTATAGTAGCTAAAGAATAAGCACTAGTACCTAATGAATAAGTATTAGTACTTAATGGAAAAGATACTAGTATCTAAAAAATAAGTACTAGTACCATGAAAATAGATACTAGTACGGCTTATAGATTAAATGTTACAACGGCTTTCCATAGGTGTTACAGCTAAAGTCCAGAAAAGCAAAGAAAGTCCGTTCAAGAAAGCTGCTGTCATCTGTAATATGTCATTCATCCAGTAGGTGGCAGTGCATTCACACC